ATTCCCAAGAGATAATAAAAGTTGTAAATACTAAAAAGAAACTACAGTCTACGTGGAACTCCGAGCTCAAGACTCGATGGATTGTTCTAAAAGAAACATTTGAAGGGCTTAAAAGGAAACGTAGATAATAGAAATTCACTTGTCCAACTAAAACGAAGAATGACTTGGAAATTAAACTCGGAAAAGTTTCAGAAGTAAAGTTGAACCAGGTCCACAGCGTTGACAACACTCACTGAGCATTCCTTTCCATCCAACAATCAAACCATTGTGTTCATTTCTAATTGGATTGTTATGCTATGTATTCTCTCCTTTCACTGGAGATATATTATTTTGAGTGACTAGTGAGTTTTATGAAAGAAAATATTCCACTTGGAGATATGTAAAAAGGTTCTGGAACAATAAGTGTGCTAGATACAACCAGTCTCACTTTCAGTAATGTTGTGAAAAGAGAAGAACAGTGTCGTAACAAAGGTCCTCTCAACTCCCTAGCGACACTGTAGCCTTTTAACAGAGTTGAGTTTGATCAATCTTGTCTCTGCAAGGTAAATTTCAAACTACTTGTGACCCTATTTTGATAACAAATCAAGAACGGTTTTGCTACAACTAGTTTTTGACTCGTTCTCGATCTGAGAACCTTTCTTTGTTGGTCACTCAAAATTAAGGAAAGCTCCTTAAAGATGCAAAATGATCATTTTCTAATTTCAATGACATTAACTCTGTTTGGCTTGCGTTGTGAGAACTATAATCTTCCCTTCCATGCAAATTACGCTCAAGGAGCAATCTTTGTTCGATTACGAGTTATAAAGAAGAATAAATCGTATACTCAACTCTAGAATTGGAAAGTATAATTGGAAAGTATACAGAGGACAGGACAATAGTAAAAAACTGACCAAAGGTTGGGAATACTTTTGTCTATACACAAATTCGTACATAAACTACTTACGATAAGGAGGATCGAACCTCAAACGTTTCAAGGCTATTGGTTCGTTCTCCACGTAAAGAACTTTTTGAGAGTTTTGACTAGTATAACAACAGTAAGAGTGGTGATGCTTTCGCTTCTCCTTGCACATATATTTCAAGATTCACCTTTCTTTTTTACTTTGCAACGAGGAGAATGAAAGATTCTTATTTTTCCATTATTTCTACGTTTATATTCTTTTCTTTTCACTAGGAGACGAAATTTATCCAGTATATTTAAAAGAACAAGACCTTTGCACAATTTTATTCTGCTGAATAATGCAAAGTTGAAAGAGACATTTTCCTTCTTTTTAGAGCAATTTGGATAAAACTATATCTTTTCTTCTTTATGTTTGACTTGTCCCTAATGGAAATGAACGTTTCTTGAAATTATAGACAGTTTGTTTATACAAAACTTTGAGTTGTCTTTGATTCTTGTTACAAATATCTTAAAAGAAGCCTCTACTAATGTACCCAGCAGGTTCTATTTCGCGAGAGTCTTCTGCCTAGTGTCTAACGCGAATGACTTTTGTATTATGACTCACTTATTCAAGGAGCTGATGTTTGAGAGAGTGGAAAAAGAGTAGGAGACGAGTGGAGCTGAACAAATCTTTCCTTGAATTTGCAGAGCTTTTAAAAGTTTTGTTTTCTTCGTACTGGAAGAAATAAGAGTTCGCTTGGAGTTATCCATGCCCTAAGGCAGCTTTGTACTTTATATAGTTTGCTTTCTTATCTATGTTTACAATTTGTGGTTTTTACAAAGCTCAAGAGAAGGCAGTGAAAGCCTTTAAACCTAAACAGTCATGTTTACCTTCAAAAACACCTCAACTATATAGTCGACTACCTGGAAGAGACAATTCAACTATGATTTAAATGCTATGATGAAAAACGAGAAGAGAATCGATAGGATTGTCTCAGTTGGACTGAATTGAACTTTTTTGAAAATAAGTTTTCTCTTAGCATAATCCACAATATCAAATGTCACTATTGTCTGCAAGTATTTTCAGAGGAGAAAGAAAGAGGAGTTGTTGACTCTTACAGAAATTGGATATTGATGATATGCACTTGTGTGCAGGAGAATGATTCGATTAATACACTAGTGCAGTCTTTCAAATATTTCGGAGATACCTTTGAACAAGTTTGAAAATTAAAAGTTTTTCATTTGAAGGCTATTTTTGGTGTCAATTTGCGATATTGCAGAGTTGTAGCAATGATTCAAAATGAATAGACTATACATACATACATGTTGAATACAACTAGAATGAAAAATATCCTTTCTTTTCCAAGTACTTAGTAAAGTGGTTACCGAAAGAATATCTCAAAACATTCTTCATGTGTCTGCTACGTTGTCTTTCTAGTCTGTTGAAAAAAGACTAGTAACTCCTTTTACTATAATTCTCAAAGACTGAAACGAAAAAGGTTGTTTGTACATTTCACTTGGACTGTCCTTCCTGTCTTTTGTTAAATGAATAGAAGAGAGTTTTCCTCGGTTTTAGAAAGCAAACGAAGGGAATGGCAGCAAAAACTTGAGGCTTTCTCCAACTTGAGAACCAGCACTGCGGTCTCAAAAAGAGTTTTAGCTTGTTGAAATTCGATAAAAGTTTAGATTCCTTTCGTTTTTAATAAGTTTTTTTCAAACTGCATTTCTAGCTTTGGAATTCATATGAATGGCTCCTACAAATATGAAACTTGTTGGATCCAAGAGAAAATATAGCAAAGGTAAGAACAAATACTAAAAAAGGTATTTTAGTTTGCAATTCAGACTCTATCTCAAAAGTACTAGCAACACTATATATCCAAACTCTGTTTTAGTGAATTAGACTGAAAACTCACCGATTCTTAGATAGGGAAAGTAACCCGGTTGCAAAGATGATATTTGATCTAAAAAATTTTGTTTGATTATCGATAGTACAAGAGACATCTTAAGTGACTCTATCTATTTGGCCGTTGGGGTAAGAACTTTCTATTTCAGACGATTACTATTTACATAGGAGTTCTATTTATATTGCATTGCAAAGGACAACTTTGAGAGTGGAACAGAATTGTTTCTAATTAGTCAAAGGAAACCATATCCAATCTTGAAGTATTGTCATTCCACAACAATCACTTGACCGATAACTTAGGAACTACAACGTCTTTCAGCCAACATAAGAGTCATGTTGGGTAAAAGTTGTTCAGTGTGGAGTGGCTTTCAGTTGGAGAATTGCTGAAGCTTTCAAGTTGGTACACTACTCGACCTTGACTCAAGTATACAAGGCTTCTTCTTTAGCAAAATTATTTTTTGGTTCAATCTTTTACTCTTTTTTCAGCATCGATGTGCAGAAAATGAAGGGTTATAGTGACTACATTTGAAGCCTTAATTGATGTCCTTATATAAGACATATTCACAACTTGGTAAAAGTCGAACAAAGGATAGACAACTTGTGTAGCTATTACATCAATAACAGCTTGTATTTAATGATAAGTCAGTGTGACAGTCTTCATTATACTCTTCTCCAAATTCAATTAGATATTTTTGTATTTATAAACTCTGCTACGAACGGTTACAAACTAACAGACTTCCCATTCATTGCAATTCTCTGTTTCCCACTGTATTTCGTCTGTAACTTACAAAAAGCTTGTATCTAATTAGACTTGTATATAGGAGTTTGCGTGTAAGATAGTGTGGAAGATAGTAGAAAAACTCTCTTACAGTATACAAGCCATAGAAAGAGTACCCATCAATCTAATTCACCACAAAAACTCATAGAAACCTATTTCTTGTCTATTGTAAAAGAAAGTTTCTAGTTATGACAAGCAAGAAAATATTCCGGCTTTCTCTCTATTGTCATTGTGAGTCTGGAAGTGTCAAAGAGATCAGTTTTACCAATAACCAAATAAAGCAATCGCTCGAACAATAAAACATACACTCTCTTCCATCTCCTTTGAAAGCTTTTCGGTCATTGATTTATTCATTAGTTGTGAATTGATTTCGGATTGGCGGCGGCGTGTAAAATGAGTTTGAACGAACCGTTGATAGATAGAAAAGAAGATGTTTATTCTATTCTTCGAACTTATTACGACCAGTTTTCTTCAGCTGGGGGAAAATTACATCTTTTACGTCCTGGAGCTTGCTTCTCCCCTCACATTTTTGGGGCGGGCAAAAGCTTTGTAGGTCAAAAATTTTTAGAGTTTTTAAAAAAATT